GCTGGGCATTCCAGGGGTCCACATTGTTGTTCCTGATATCTTCACCCTCCCAGGAACTGAAAACCCTTCCCATCTAGAAATCCCTTTCCTGATTCCCCATAGCTGTGGAAAGGGCCTGCCCCTGATGGTTCATATGGCCAGTGAGAACGTGGCTGGTGTCTATCGGAGGCAGCCTGGAGCTAGACCTGATGCTGAGTTCAGAGACAAGCCCACCTTCAGGAGAACCACACTGTGTGGTAGCTTGGCAGCGGAGGCAATTTGAACAGATGTGGCAGTGGCTCATAAAAGAGGCTTGGTGTGGGGGGAGGGTGGGTTTTCAGGAAGTGCTGCATAGAAGAGATTTTTTGCAGCATATCTAGGAAGAATGGAGGCAGATAAAGGCATTCTAGGCTCAGGGAGAGACGGAACCAAGCTCAGGAGATGAGCGCCAGTTTGCTTCAGTTTGCTGCCAGTGGGACCTGGCCAGGAATTAGCAGGAAACGGGCGGCCAGAGCCTGAGTTGAGTGTCTCTGGCTATGGAGGGGATGGGAAAGGAGAGCTCTAGCTTGGAGACCATTTGGGGAATGTCTCCTGGGGGTGGGAGGGGTGGATTTTTTAAATTTTATTTCTTTTTTTGAGATAAGGTCTCACGTAGCTCAGGCTGGCCGCAAACATGCTAGTTATGCAGCCAAGGATAATCTTGAACTGTCCATCTATCTCTTGAGTGCTGGGACTATTGGCACGTGCCCCCCCCATGAAATTTGTGTGGTGCTGGGACAGAGCCCAGAGTTACTGCACAAGCACTTTGCCAACTGAGCTACACCCCCAGTTCCCAATGAAAAAAGTTAAAATGACAGCAGGGTGGCGGTGGTGAGAGCCTTTAATCCCAACACTGAGGGGGGCCGGCAGAGGCAGGTGGATCTTTGTGAGTTTGAGGCCAGCCTGGTCTACAGAGCAAGTTCCAGGATAGGCTCTAAAGCTACAGAGAAACCTTATTTCAAACAAAACAGAACAAAACAAAACAAAACAGTTAAAATGACAATGCCAGGTGGTGGTGGTGTACACCTTTAATCCCAGCACTCAGGAGGCAGAGACAGGTGGGTCTCTGAGTTTGAGGCCAGCCTGGTCTACAGAATAAATTGCAGGACAGCCAGTGCTACATAGAGAAATTCTGTCTTCAAAAATCAAAACAAAAACAAAAAAAATTTAAGAAATTCTATATAATAGTTGCTTATTTTTTTTTCCTTTATTTCGTTGTGAGGCAAGGTCTCAGTTTATAATCCAGATTGCCCTGGAAGTCATTATGTAGACAGCCTGGCCTCCCACTTGAAGCCATCCTCCTGTCTTAGCCTCCAGCATGCTGGGATTACAAGTGTGCATCCCACCCAGCACAGCACTTGGTGCTGCTGTAGGAGGCATACAAGTACTCATTTATGTACAAACACCACCAGCCCACTGCCCTTTTTTGTGTGTTTTCGACACAGGGTTTCTCTGTATAGCTCCAGCTGTTTTGGAACTCACTCTTTAGACCTGGCTGGTCTTGAATCACAGAGATCCACCTGCCTCCTGAATGCTGGGATTAAAGGTGTGCTCCACCTCTGTCCCGCAGGACCCCTATTTTTGCAGATGGGAAAATGTGGAGGAGCAGCTTGCCCAAGGTTACACAGAAGGGGGGATGTAGATTTGAGCCGGGGAATCTGTCTCCAGGAAGCTGTGACCTCAGCCTTCTGTTATTCTGAGTCCCTGCCCACCGATGAGCAGGGCTGGGAGTAGAGGTGGCCAGACATTGGTTTCAGACAGGACATAGGCAGTGTGTGATGGCTGCCACAGGCTGCGCTTCCTTTTACTGTGGTAAAGACTTCGTTAGCCTCAATCTCCCTGTTTGTAAGATGGGGAACACGAGTAGCCCCACTGAGGAAGAGAGTTTGTTGGAAGTCCTTTGTGTACTCAAGATGCCCTTGTCCCTATTTCACTGTGGGCAAGCGTCTGTGGTCCCCTTTGCTTCCTTCTGGGATGCTTCTGGGCAGACCCTGCTCCTGGGAGTTTCCGCCATTTCCCTGCAGAGCTGGAATTGGCTCTGAAGTCAGCCCTGCTCTTCAGAGAGAGGGTTTTCAGGGACAGAGGGTGGAACGTTGGAAATTCAAATGAGCCACACGAACACCTTTTATTTCTGTTCGGAACATCTGAGTCTCCCTGTGGGGACTCCTCTGCCCAGAGTAGTTTCTTCCTCTGTACAAGAGAGGATGTGAGAACCCTGGGAGCAGGCTGAGGCAAGGTTGCCACCCTCTCACCCACCCTGGGCCTTGCCACCAGAAATAGCAAGGGCCAAGGTGTCAGCCCTAGGGAGGGGCAGCTGGGGAAGCCTTTGAACTGGGAGATCCCTGGGAGCTAAGGCATCTGTTAATGTGGGCGCAGGAAGGCGGCAGCAGGTGGCCCTGGGTTTTCTTTGCCTTCAGGAAGGCAAACATCACCAGCTCAGACGAGCAGCACCAGGACCTGGGAGTGAGGCCGAGGCTTAGCTCATAACCTGCGACACTGGGTAACTCATGTCCTTGCTGGGTTTCTGTTGTTTCTTCTACAGCCCGGTCATCGGCAGCACGGTCACGTATGGATTCGTCCTTCTGGGGCCTTCCTAGATTCATGCCCTAGAAGACTTGTTTGTTGCCTTGTTGCAGCACTGTCCTTCTCCCTACCTTGGGGTGGGGTTCAAGCCTGGCCAGTCTGTGTCCGGGGCTGAACTTGGCATGTGAAGGTGATAGGTTTCCCACAGCTGCCTCCTGGGGGAGCTGCTCTAGGGAGGGGAGAGGCTTGAGCACAGACAGATGGACTTTGCCTTCAGGGCCAGGGACACTTAGATGTTCAACCATCAGGGCAGCCCAGATGTAGACCTGTACATTTGGGGAAGCAGACTACTATGCTGCCTGCTAACTCTTGAGTTCTAGGGTAGGGGGAGATCTGGGGCCTTGGACCTGTAGCTAGGGAAAGAGAAACAGTATTTGGGAGGACAGAACCTGCTTGTTAACTGGTGTGGTAGTGCTGTGTGACTACAAGAAGACTTGGTGTCCATTAGCACGCTGTGGGAGGGCAGGTCAGAGAAGGCTGCGGGAGCCCTGGGAACTGGCTTCTGGTCATCAGAAAAACCTTTCCTTAGGACAGGGACAGGTGCTGTCCTTACTTGGCCCAGTCCCCACCCTTCTGCCTATTCTGGGGCGGTGGGGAATGGCTTTCTCACCTGGACTGGGGTGCAGAGAAAAGACGCTTCCTCCCCTCACTCACAGAACCCTTGGCTCCGTGGCTTACTTAGGGCAGAAGCTTGGCAGCTGCCAGCCACAGGCCAGATGGCCTGAGCCCCGGCTCCCCATTGTCTCTTAGTCCAGCCTTTTGTCCTCCGTAGCACGGGCTACCCCCCTCTGCCAGATGCCTCATCCACTAAGCAAGGACTTTTCTTGTCTTCATCCTTTGCGGCCCTCGGAAAACCTCGAGATGATGGAATTAGAAGGTCTGAGGGGCAGGGGGAACAGGTGCAATTTAAGGGCAGCTGGTGAGGGGAACCCTGAATTCTTGGTGTGTGTGTGGGGGGCTCTGCTCTTCCAGCTGCCCTGACTTCCCTGTGCAGCAATTTCAGTTTCTATTTTAAACAGTTTGGGTTGGTTGCTTCCCTGCCTTCCTGCTGGGTGTTTATAGTGAGGAAAATAATTGGTAATATTTGCACAGATGTGCTGGCACCGCAGCTCATCACGGGCACCTTTACCCAGGGGACTGCCCCAGTCCCCCCAGCCCCCAGTCTCTCCGCCAGCCAGAAGAACCAGGGGAGGAAGGAGAGGAAGCCAGGACACAGGAGGACTAAAGTGCCCCAGGCATGCCAGAGGCAGGGCCTCATCCGGAGCAGGGGAATGTGGGTGCCTGTACTCCAAGGACTCTAGGACAAGCCAGGCCCACGGAACAGGCCTTTCCGTGGGAGTGGGAAGCCCCCAGGGCCCTGCCTCTCATCCCATTATCTTTGGTGGAGCCTAAATTTGTATCCAGGATAGGGATGGAAGCGAAAAGGATGTGAAGAGGATGTGGGGGAGGGGGCAGGGCAATGGCTAGGGTGGAAAATAGTAAATCAATCTAGGTAAGGTGCCTACAGGAGGCAGCCTGAGAGACATATTGGTCTCAGTCTTAAGAGACAAGGAAAGAGAGAAAGGAAGGGAGGGAGGGAGACACAGGAAGTCATAAGTTTCCCTTTCCTTCTTCTCAAGGCCCAGAACATCACACTGGGAGACTGGGAAGGAAGGCAGAGTTGGCTGGGCTGTGAGGCCTTGTGCCAGCCTAGAGAAGGAGTGATGTCTCAGGGTAGGCAGAAATGGATGGGAGCCTGCCGTCTTCGCCTCTTGAGCGTTCATATGCTGCGTGCGGCCTGCATGTTTCACGGCTGGGCCCGTGTGGAGGTGTGTGTGTATGCAAATGTGTACACATATGGTGCATACACATACATATATGAATGTGCATGTGTGTGTCTGGGTTTGGGTTCCCTCAAAGCTAACCCTGAGAGACATCCAATGGGGAGTCATTTCAGGCTGTGAGTACAGCAATGGGAAGGACAGGGAGGAAGGTAGCCAATGAGGGCCAAACTTTCAATGAATTGCTGCAGTGAAAAGCAGAGGAGGTCCTGCTGGGGACCCCAGAGAGCTAGGGTGCAATGTGCCTCACCTTCCATCCAAGGGGCAAGACATCACAGCTGCTTATCTACATCAGGCATTGAGTGAAGGCAACATCGCCTCCCCTCCTGACCCCCAAGGCCCTTACACCTAGGAGAACTTTTTCTGCAGGCTTGCCTTGTATGAGTCAAATACAATCCATGCAATCCATCCACCTACATCGCAGGTACCACAGGCCGAGCAGTCTTAGGGCGGCATTGGCTTCTGGCCCCTTTTCTTGAGGCCCATATGGAGATCCAGAACAACAGTCGGGGGATGATGGAAGTCGGCATTGGAGAAGCATGGGGTACAGACACAGTACAGCAAGAGGCCCAGATGGCGCCAGGTGTTACAGAAAAGTTTATTATCAGGATAAATAAAGACAGAACGGGGACATTAAAATTGCCAGTGCAGGAGTGGAGCGTGGGCAACACCTGAAGTGGGGGGGGTGGGGGTGGGACCAAGGATGGCCAGTGGTGGAACCAGGGCGAGTAAATGACCAGGGTCCCCAAATCGTGCACAGTCCTCCTGCAGGCTGAGTCCCGGGGGGCTTCCCTTTCCTCTGCTCTTGATGTCTCTGGAACTGTCATTCCTTAGTGCCTTGGCGCAGAGGGGCTTGGAAGCAGTCCTGAGTGGCAGTTATCAGAAGGTGCTCAGGGGCCATTACCACCATTACCCCATCACTCAAAGATGGGAAAATATCATGGGTGGAGAGAAAGGCCTGACCTTCCTGCTTAGGTTGATGGAGGATTTAGAAATGGCTACAAAATTGCTCCAGACCAAATAGTCCAGACAGAATCCAAACAGCCTGGAAACCTCCACTGGAGGCTCTTACATACCCTTGCCCACCAGGATGGAGAGAAGCAAATCCCTTAGGTGAATTCTTTTTTTTTTTTTTTTTTTTTTTTGTTTTTCGAGGCAGGGTTTCTCTGTATTGTTTTGGAGGCTGTCCTGGAACTCACTTTGTAGACCAGACTGGCCTCGAACTCACAGAGATCCGCCTGCCTCTACCTCCCGAGTGCTGGGATTAAAGGCGTGCGCCACCAACGCCCAGCCCTTAGGTGAATTCTTAGTCCTCCTCTCTGGCACTGTACTTGCCTTTTGCCTGGTGCAGAGAAGCCCCAGGAACCCGCCCTCAGTACAGAGCTCACCAACCCATCTCTACCCTGGGAGTCACTGCTGAGACTATCTTCCACACTAGTACCCGGAGTCAGAAAGAGCAAGGGATGGTTTCTTTCCTGATTGGAGGGTCTTGGGCATCATGGGGGAGGGGTTAGATGTACACCGGGGAGAGCCCTGTGGCCTGAAAAGGCTGGCCGCATCCTTTGTTCCTTTTCTCCCCGGAACCTCCTGCTCTTTCTCTGTGGCTAGTGGGGGACTGAGCTGCCTGTGGGACTGAGGTCCTGTGGGGAGTGGGCTAGGACTGTGGGACAATGCTGCTTCCTGCTTCCTGCTTGGCTTGCACTGGACTGGGAGTGGTGGGCAAGAGGGCCTTGTGAGGCGCAGAATGGGAGGCCTCCCCTCAACAAGCCGTTGTCACAGGCTCGCTTCCGGGTCAAGGCTCTCCGTGGAGCACACAGTTCCAAGCCTTACAGCCTCCCTCTGGCAGGCCAGGAGAGTCAGGACGAGGGTCCTACTGACCATTAGCCATGGCCATTCTGGGACATGTAAGCAGCCAGAGCCACCACTACAGCCACATAGAGACCGGCCCCCACAGCGATAGAGAGTGTGGCCAGGAAGAGCGCCCGGCGGGAGGTGGTGCTGGCCAGGCGGAAGTCCCCTTTGGAGATGGCCTTGCTGGTCTAGGGAGACAAAAGACTCATATAAGGCAACATCCCCACACCCAGCAAAACAGCCAAGTCCACCAGGCCCTTCCCATCCTGCAGGTGAGTGTCCCCAGCTGAGAGAGGTGGCCAGAGGGGCACCGCCGCTGAATCCCCGGTACACTTACCCCCTGGGAGAAGTAGAAGGCGGCAATGCCCAGAGGCCAGAAGCAGCAGAGCATGGAAAACAGAGTGAGCCCCAAGTGGTCCCTGGGAGGCAGGGTGAGGAAGGTGTCCTCACTTTCACTCTCTGTGGAGGTCGCATCGCTCTGCAAGAGAGTGGGGTTTGGTGGCACAAGCAGGTCTCTGACAGACTGAAAGGAGTCAGTTGAAAACACGTGGATCAGCCGGGCGTTGGTGGCGCACGCCTTTAATCCCAGCACTCGGGAGGCAGAGGCAGGCAGATCTCTGTGAGTTCGAGACCAGCCTGGTCTACAGAGTGAGTGCCAGGACAGCCTCCAAAGCCACAGAGAAACCCTGTCTCGAAAAAAAAAAAACAAAAAAACAAAAAAAAAAAAAACAAAAAAAAAAAAAGAAAGAAAGAAAACACGTGGCTCTTTTGCCAGCTACTAATCCCTGGGACCCAGCAGTGGAAGGAGATAATTGACTCCCACAGGTTGTCAATGGACTCCCACATCTATGCTGTGACCATACATACAGTAGATAGACAGATAGATAGATAGACAGACAGATAGATAAGTAATGTTTAAAAATGCAACAACAAAACAGGAACTATCCAGTGGGCGCATTCAGAGCAAGCCTCCTCTGCTGTTGAGAGTGGAGACTGGTCTTGTCACACTCGGTCACTCCACTCAGAGTCTTTTATTTATTTATTTATTTATTTATTTATTTATTTTTACTCGAACAGTCTTTAATGGAAGCTGTGTACGAGACGCCCCTACTCCCGCATCTTCTCAATGGTTTCTTCCTTGTATTTGCCCTTCCCCCTCGCCTACTTGTCGGGACTTGGCTCTCCCTTCCAGGATCTTCTTGCGGTCTTTGTCCAGCGTTAGCCTGGTGATACCCACCTTGCTGGGGTGGATGCCCACGTGGACAGTGGTGCCATCAGCCTTTTCTCACTGCACTAGTTCACTGCAGATGACGTATTTCTTCCTGTACACCTGGACCGCTTGGCCAATCTGCTGACCTTTGTAATGTCCTCGGACAACCTGAACTTCATCATCCTTTCGAATGGGCGTTGGTGGAACATCGTACTTCTGTCTCAGCTCTTTGGAAAGAGGGGAAGACATGATCTTCCTCCGAATGTGAGAAGGTGCATTGAAATGCCGTTTGCGGTTCTTGCTTCGGTCAGAAGTCACGAAGGGATTGAACTTCATTTTGGCGGCTGCGATCCAGCGATGGCCGCAAAAGGAAAGAGGTGAGTGGTACTTTTAGGAACTTCTCACCACGGAAGAGCGCAAGTTTCTGAATGCAGAGGTGTTCACCACAGGAGAGAGACTGGCGAAGATGGAAGGCATTCTCAGTGCCCAAAGACGGAGTGATCAAGTTAACAAACAACGGACGAGCTCACAATGAAAGACCCCGTCACTTTACAAATCACCTTGTAGAACATATTAAATTACAAGGAGCCACATCAGAAAATCGGGTTATAAAGGCACACACTTTGTGGGAGAGAGGCAGAGAGGAAACATGATCAGTCACCAAAATAATCCCATTATTCTCAAGTGATTAATAGCTGCTATTTGCAGTGGTTGTGATTTATCTGATAAACAGTTAACCCAAGCTAGTGCTTTTCTGCCTCGTTCACCTCCTCGTCCTTCAACAGCGTATCATGTAGCCCACAATAGCCTTGAACTCACCAGGGAGCCAGAGCTGGCCTTGAACTCCTGATCCTTCTGTCTCCACCTCCCAAGTGCCATGAATACAACTGTGCCTTCTTTTTTGAAGTGGGGTCTTACTCTATAATGCAGGATGAGTTTGAACTCTATGTAGACAAAGTTGACATCAAATCCCTCGTCTTCCTGTCTCAGCCTCCTGAGCGCTGAGATTAAAGGCATGTCCCATCACGCCCAGTTTAGAATCTACATTAAAAAAAAAAAAGCTGCTTACCTCCTCCTCCTGACTGCCCTCCTGGCCCTGCAGCTCCTCTTGAACCCCATAGGACACGGTGTGGATGGTGACATCCTCCTCAGTTTGACCAGGTTCTGAGCTGTGCCCTGCGGGTCCCACTGGAGGCTCCCTGGCTTCGGTGAAGCTGGTCTCACAGCTGCCTGCTTTGGGTTCTTTGACCTTGTCCTTTCCCAGGAGGCAGCTGGGCCGATACCAAGCCTCCACGGCCAGCTGCAGGGACCCGGGGTCCAGGAGCTGGTGGGTGCGAGCAGGACCAGTACCTCCTAGGAGGTAGGAATAAAGCTTCTCTTGGCAGGACCAGCTGGACGGGGCCTCCGTGTAGGGGTAGGGGCTGTGGAGGTGGGCGGGGCTCCGCGGCAGCAGTGGGTTCTGCAGTTCACTCAGGCTCTCCATGGTTCTGCCTGCAGTTGCCAGGGACGGGAGTCTCGGTTCCTGACTCGGTCCTCTCGGAGCCTGTCAGGAGAGCAAGACAGGTAGTCACAGAGGCCAGGCCACTGGATACATGGCCTGGTGTGGTTAAACCTGTAGATCTTTGTGTTCCAAGTTGGCCCCAAGCTCTGCTTTGCCTGTTGTCACCTGTGGGACCTTGAGCTAGATATTTATTTATTGGGTACCAGATGGTTGTGAGCCATCATATGGTTGCTGGAAGAGCAGCCAGTGCTCTTAACCTCTGAGCCATCTCTCTAGCCCTGAGCTAGCTATTTCTCAGAGCCTCAGTTCCTCTCTCAGTGAAGTGGGGATGGCAGTGGCTCCCACTACCCCATTTCCTTACTCAGCACATGATTAGTCGGAAACCAGCTATGTGCCAGGCACTGTGCCGGATGCTGAATCCAGCGGCGAGAGAGGCGAAAGTCGGGGGTGTCTGTTTGTCTTCAGGGGTTTAGCCCAGGTGCAGAAGGCAAGTCTAGAATAATGCGTCTCTCCTGAAGAAGTACAGCACATGCAGCACGGACACTTAGCTGCAATGGCAGCACTGACAGGAAGGTGGGAAAGGTTTTATGCTGAGATGTGGAGAAGCCAGGTTACAAGGGGAGGGAAATGGTGCTGTAGCCTGGATTCGAATTCTGCCCGGAGGCTTACGTGTTAAAACAGAGGTTCTCACCTGTGGGTTGCAAACGCTTCATCAAAGCAGTAAAATTACAGTTATGAAATGACGATGAAGGAATTTTATGGTTGGGGGGTCACCACAACACGAGGAACTGTATTAAAGGGTCTCAGCATTAGAAAGGTTGTGTTAAAGGTTTAGTAGTCCTTTGGTGTGTGGGAAGATTGTGAAAACCTTTAAGAGCAGGACCTAGTGGGAGGTTTTAGGCCAGGGGGGTGTGGCCTTGAAGAGCATTGCTGGGATGCTGGTCTTGGTCCCACTCCCCCTCCTGACCTCTACAAGGGGAACAGCTCTCTCTGCAGGCTCTCTGTGACGCTGGCAGTCTTACCACACTTGCAACGCATCAGGGCCTGTAGATTTCAGGCTGGAACCTCTGAAGGAGTCAAAAAAGCCTTTACTCCTCTCAGATCGATCAGGTATTTTTGTCTCAGTGCCAGGAAGCTTATTTCCCCCAGAGGGAGGAATATCTGCAAAGGTCCCGTGGCTGGACAAAGGACAGCATGAGAGAGGGCTGATGTGTCTCAAGGTGCCCACCGAGGACTGAGGGCCTTACGTGTAGCTCTGGTGAGGTCTAAGGGACCGGGGACATCAGCACAGATGTTTCCCCCGAAGTGTTTCCTATGCTTCCCATGCAGAGTGGATTGGAAGGGTATGGTTCAACTGCCAAAGCATTATGACATCTTTTTTATATTAAAAAATTAAGCATGTATGTATGTATGTATTTATTTATTTTTTGGTTTTTCGAGACAAGGTTTCTCTGTGGCTTTGGAGGCTGTCCTGGAACTCACTCTGTAGACCAGGCTGGCCTCGAACTCAGTATGTATTTATTTTGAGACAGTGTTTCTCTGTGTCCTGGAATTGTCTGGGTAGACCGGGCTGCCTCCAGACTCAGGGATCTGCCTGTCTCTGCTCCCGAGTGCTGAGATTAAAGTCATGAGACACCATGCCCAGCTTCAAATGTTTATTTTAAGGTTAGCATTTACTGTATTTTATTTGTGTGTATGTACATGTCTACACAAACATGCAAGCCCTGGAGGAAGCCAAAAGTAGGAGCTGGGTCACGTGAAGCTGGAGTTACAGATGGCTGTGAGCTGCTGGACATGCATGCTGGAGACTGAACCCTGGTCCTCCAAAAGAGTAGCAAGCGCTTCGAACACAGGGCCACCGAGTCAGCTCCCTCCCACCCCTGCTGGTGCCCATTTATTTGTTTGTTTTTGAGACAGGACTTCTCTGTGTAGCCCTGGCTGTCCTGGAACTCACTCTGTAGACCAGGCTGGCCTCAAACTTACAAAGATCCACCTGCCTCTGCCTCCAGAGTGAAGGGATTAGAGGCGTGCATCCCTGGGCCACCATTTATTTATTTTTATGACTGGATCTTGCTATGCTGTCCAGGCTAACTTCAAACTCACTACGTAATCTAGGCAGAGTGGCTCACACCTATCGACTTGGCACTTAGGTTGGAGGCCAGCCTGGGCTATGTGGTGAGACCTTGTCTCAAAACGAAACAAAGCGACAATGAAGCCCCCCCCCCACGCAATCAAACAACCAAAAAAACCCCTATGTAGCTGAAACTGGCCTTAAAATCTCCCTGCCTCAAGCCCCCACTTGCGGGGTATGCAGGAGCATGCCTGGCGTTGGTGGTGGAGTTCACTGTGTCTTCAGGTAAACTGAGGATCCAGGGTTGTCATCCCAGCTGTTTGGGAGGCTGAGGCAGGAGGACTCCAAAGTGCAAGGTCGGCCTGAACTACAGAGACACTAGGAACTAAAGGCGTGCCCACCACTACCCATCTTAAGTCTTTTTGACTTATATATTTTACGTGTATGATACATATACACATGTTCAACATACACAGAGATCAAAAAGAGTGCATCAGATCCCCTGGAACTGGAGTTATGAGTGGCTGTGAGTCACCATGTGGATGTGGGGAACTAACTTGGGTTCTCTGGAATAACAGCAAGTATTCCTAACCACTGAGCCATCTCTCTAGCCCAGGAGGCTGCAATCCTTATTTATGGGCTGTAGAACTTGTCCTCGCCCACTGGGGGCAATTCTGAGCGCTCCCAGCTCCCACTCTGCTAATGACAGAAGAGAAGAGAAGTTTACTAGATCCCACGCCCAGTCCCAGTCCCTATCACGAATTCACAGTCAACGTCTGGGAAAGGGTTGCTTCTGTTTCTGCCCCCAAAGAACATGGGTGAGTTCTAGAAAGATGGTTCCGGAGTGACCTGAGACAGAATGGCTCCAGGAACAATGCCTGGGTAGTGGACAGAGAGGGAGTGCATGGAGGACAGGGGCATCAGGATGGGAGCAGGGCGCTGAGGACATGTCCAAAGAACTCTAGGTTCCCCTGGCTGACTCAGCACTGGGGAGGACATGGGCTGATGCTTACAGGAGGGCAAAGGAAATGAGGAGATGCTGCCATGGTGCTGAGTCCCTGAGAGTTACTGCGCTGGACCGGAGGTTAGAGGGATGCCTAATAAAGAATCACAAAGTGCAACACACAGGGTCGTGAGGTCCAACGGCCCAACTCCCAAAGCAGAGAGAGTACATGTGACGCTGAGATGCAGGCTGCCATGTGCCCAGGGGCCCCACTTACACATCACTCTGCTGTGACTTCCATGTGACTATCACCCAACTGCGACAGAAGATTCCTAGTGTAGCAATGGGGCATGAAGCTTGGGCTGGGAGGCAGGTTCAGATCACAAAAGCAGCTCCTCAGCTTCCCTCCCTGGGAGCCCATTCCTGGTTTATAGGCTTCTTCTGGCCTCATGAAGGGTTTGGAGGAAGTGGAAGCCCATTGGGCCTCAGGAGGGAGGCCCTCTTTGGACACCTTGTCAAAATCGGGACAGGGCACATTTGGAGCCCAGTGAGGTACGTGATGATGACTCCCTGCCATTGCCCAGTGTGCAGGTTGAGTGAGTCCAGGGAAAGGCGAGATCTGTTTTGGGTAGGTAGGCAGCAGAGCTCCAGCTGTGCCACCACAGTTCCTGCCTTATCCCCACCCATCTCTCTGGGAACCACGGACCCAGCTCCCAGAGGACCCTCAGTCTCTCCTCTTGATGATCTTAATGGATAGATAGTCCCCGGTCTAGGGGTGTCACAGCCTAAAGCAGTGATGTCACTATCCATGCAGCTGAGGTGTGCAGGGGTCTTGAGGAGGAGTGGGCAGCCCCAGGGCATTTAGAGCTGCTACCTGTGTCTAACTCACCCCTGCCCTCACCTCTACCTTATTGGGAGGCCTTGGCAAGTCTTTGTCCTTCCCTTTGGTGCCGTTCCCTGCCCCCAAAAGGGATGCAGAGATGCCTGGAGACCTTAGGGGCATTTGCAAGCCCAAAGCAGGCAGGGGCAAGTGACCCCAGCTCACTCTCTGTCCCTGTCAGGCTCCCTAGTTCAGACACCCAGCTGAGCCTCTGCAGTCCAGGCCACACCCAGCCTTTTCTGGACTCCCTCCTTCCTTGTGCTCCGAGGGGTTTCCTCCCATCCCCAATGACCCAAACAAGGCTTTGCTTCACTCACAGAGACGTGCGATTTGTACACAGTGGGAAAATGAGAAGTCCAAGCATTGGAAACAAGTCCAGTAAACGATGGCACACAATCCAGTGGTACACGGCCTTGCGCAGGCTCACCAAGAGTAATGACACGAGAAAACGCTCATTGCAGTTCCAATGAGAAGGAAGGAAACAATCGGAGTGCGCAGCCATCTCCACTCCGCCAAAATGTCAACAGTGATTAGCTCCTGGAGTGGAAGCCCAGGAGCTTTCGCTTTCTTCTTCATGCCCTCTTTTTTCTGTTTCCCACATTTGTTCATTTATTTATTTACGATAAGTGTGTACTACTTTTAAATCAGAAAAAAAAATTAAGGGCTTAGATTCCTTCTGAGTCAGATGGAGCCTAAAATCCATTGAAGGCTAGGAGCTCCTGCTGGGTTTGGTGGCTGACTGCAACATTAAAGCCTTTCCTCACCCATATTCCTACCTGTACTTCAACTTTCGAAAAGTCACCTGTGGGTGGTTGCAGCCAAGAGTCATGGGTTTTTATACAGCTCCACCCCCTCCCCCAACTACAAAGTCATTGGCAGAGTTCATGGCCTCGTCCCAGGGACCCTACTCTGAGTCCTGACTTGGAGAAAGAATAACAGGTCACTGCATCTCCTGTGCCATTGGCTTGTCTGGGCCTTTGGACCTGGTCCTTAGGTTCCTGTTCCTTGGGTGAGACATCAAAGCAGAGCACTTCCCATGGCATCTCAGCTACCTGGTCTTATGTGGGCTGTGTGTGCCTCCTAGACTCTGGTGTGGTTGCTAGTGTACCTGCATATGAGTGTGTGTGTATGCATATGTGTGTATGTGT